GCTGAGGAAGAAAGAGCTTGAGGAAACAGCTCTTCCATTCCTGCAAGCCTGGCTGGAAGTGAACATTTTCCAGAACGGATGATGCAAGACCACCCAGGCAGGATTACAACAGGACAACCTCAGGAAAACACTGTCAGGGTCTCACTGTGGCAACAGAGCAGCTGTGGGACCAAATTACTACAGACTTCAACAGGAGACGTCACGACAGGCCGCCCCTGACCAGCTGGCAGCAGCTGCCCTGGAAGAGTGTAGCCGGACAGCCTACGGTCCAGAGGCTGATCAGGACTGTGAGTCAGTGCTCCAGGGCTGAGTTAGTCCTCAGGGAGGTCAGACAAGACACTAACGTTGGTTTTGACGTTACAAAACAACTGTTACACTGTTTATGTCCCGAAAATCCATTGTGATTTCCTGAGCTGTATTTTTGTTCCTACTGGCTCTGGTTACTTTTCATATCCATGTCCAAATATTTGCTTCATTAAATCAACTAATTGATCCATTGAGCTGAACTTAGTGTTTGTTTTATTAGAAGCCACACACCTACAACAGAAGTACACATGCAGTCTAAACATACAGTATGATTTCCTTGTAGTTAAGACATTTTGAAAATGATAGTCGGCTAGGATTTGAGTATCACTTAATGCTTAACGCCTCCACGCCAAAATTGCCGCCGCTTTAAAACGCCCCTGGTTTGTATTGGGTTTTGTTTCCTTTGCTGTTCCTTAGAGACTTCAACTCGGCCCTGATCCGATTCCCTCTGTTTAGAGCGCCGTTTACTCGGCAATAAGATACAGGGATGTTTGTTTTACACCTGTCACCGCGTCGCACACCTGAGCACGTGACGTCCGTGCCAAGATGGACGGAAGCGCCGCCCCCCGCTTTCTGAAGCTGGTGCGCGCTCCCGGCTGCGCGCCCCCGCCGCCCGCCGCAGTTCCCGTGGAAAAGTATTTCAACAACAGTCGGTGCGCGGCTCCGAGACCGGCGGCTGAGTCTGTCTCTGTGTGTGTGTGTGGAGACACACAGCGTGGATGTGGGGATCCAGAAACACTGGACACAACGAAAGGGTAAAAAAAAAAACATTACGAGCGGAAAGCCTGCTGGGATAATTAAGGAAAGCGACAAAAAAAAAGTAAAGTAAAAAAAAAAAAGACATTTCGTCAGAGGTAAGCGGTTGACCCCCTCCCGGACCGGGTCCGGACGGGGTTTCGGTTGGGATTACGGGTCGGCGCGGCTCCGCTTTGTTGTGGGAAGAGCACGTTACAGTGGCCGCGACCATGTCGCTGAGCTCGTCCTGGCCCGGGAAAGGTAAAAGCGAGCACGAAGGTAGAGGTCTGCTTTTTTTTTTTCTTCCTCCCCAAGGCTCTTCTCTGTGTCGGGGGGGGTCGGCTGGGGGGGTATTTAACAGCGGGGGTGCGTGTGCAGGGGCCGGCCCGCTGTCTCCGGGAGAGCCCCCGGGCCGGGCCGGGTTAGCCGTGAGGGCGCCTCGGCGCAGCCCCGGCCGGCCGGCGAGGAGGCAGCCGGGCACGGGCTTGCCCTTCACGGCGGCGGGGCTCTGCGGCCTACTCGGCGTCGGCGTGCGGGCCGGGAAGGGAAGGGGGGGCCGCTGCTCAGACCTGCGGGCTGGGGTTGCTGGGCCTCTCGGTTTGGGTGCCGGCGTGCGCGGCGGGGAGGCTGAGCTCGGTCCCCGCAGAAGCCGGGTTGTTGTTGTTGTTGTTGTTGTTTTAAACGATTGAGAGAGCGGCTCTACGAGATGTCCAGCTTGGCTGACGAACCCCGGGAAATGGAAACGATCGTTGTGTTTCCCCGAACTGCTGAAGGACCGCAGACAGCAGGAGCGTTAGAAGAGCGACCTCTTCTCTAACCTCATACAGGAGAAATGGCTTTCATCCCCTACATACCCCTGTAGCAGGGGGGCGTGTGTGTATGTCTCACGGTAATCTTTTAAACACTATTGCTATCTGAATACCCCCTCTGCGGTTTGTTTTTAAATCCCCTGCCGCCCGGCTGTCCGAGCCCGGCAGACGGTGCCGTGATGTTTGGGTTTTTGGGTGCATGTCTTTTCGCTGCCAACATGGCGGAGGTCAAGTTGCTACCCCGGCCTGTGCTGCTGGAGCCGAAACCTTGCTCCTTGCCTTGAGGATGTGTGAGGGCATCAGGTGATTGAATGTACTCGTCTGTAAGACGGACGCTGCAGCTCCTGAGCGCCGGACGGGTACGGAACCAGCTGTCCTCCGAGACGATTGCATCTGGACCATTAAGAGATGTTTGATGCTCTGAGCGGATTACGTCTGCTTTGAAGTTCAGATTTACTCCACAAAAGCGGGTTGCGTGGGTTACAGTAGTGACCCAGGAACGCATTAACGAAATGAGATTTGCCCCCCTGTGAGGGAGATCTTCAGTTCCCCTAGTGCCAGTTTTAAAGAAGCATTTGAGATAAAGATGTTGCACGATATTTTGGCAGTTGCGTTGCTGCTGTAGGCAAAACTAGCATTTGTGTTGTAAAAATCCCATATTGCAGTACAGTGTAATATGTAGTTAAATGTCACCATTACATTGCACTTTGCTAAGGTAGGGATTAGTCCATCTGTTTTGCTGATGTATTTGCTGTTGTAAAAGCAGATACATGATATTGTGGCTGTTTGACACACTTTCTTGTGACTGCCCAAATGTTTCTGGGTCACTGTGAAGGGGTGATTGTTAATTGCAAAGGGGGTGCTATTGGGACCCTGCTAGTTGTCCTTGCTGCCACCCTGATTCAGGGTAGAGGGGACTGGACCCACTGTACATGAATAGCTCCCATAGGTGTGGGACATGCCACCTCTCTCCTCATCCTGAAGTAGAGTGGGTGACTCGGGCTTTTAGACAGCTGTCATCCCAGCTCTAAATCTTGGGCACGCAGGTGAACCGCCCTCTGTTTCTTAAGAGGATTTATCACCCTCGCATCTGCTTTAAAACTGTCCCTGCTGAGCTTGTCTGTGGTACTTATTTCTGCTCTAGAGCCCCTTCAGCAGAGTGGCAGCTGCAGAATGAGAGTACACATGTGAAGGATTGTTACAGGCCGTAGGTATTGACACCCAGCTTCTGAAATAGGGTTACTGTTAATTTGAGTGTATTGGCTTATCAGTGATAACCTCGTCTAAGTTTTCTAATCAGTCGCTCACCTGACTAAGCATCGGTTGTATTCCGGTGAGTTTGCTGCAGTACAGTTAGGCTCTGCTGCCAGTACTTGAGTCTGTAGCTACTTAAGGTGACTTAAGTGTGTGCCAGTCAGAATTGCAGATTTGCAAATGTATTCTAATGGGCGTTTGTGTTTTACTTTTTAATGGGAGTAAATGCTTCCTTTGGGCATTGTAGAAAAGGCACCAGCCTTTGCTGAGCCATAGTTCTCAGACATGCAAGACGTTATCTGAAAAGTCTGTTTTGTCTTCTTTGGGTAGTTGGGATCTGACAACTGCACTTGTGCATGTAGTCTGATGAGGATATAGGCCCTTGTCTGTTTCCTGTGGCCATGGCAGGTATCCTATATTCCCCTTCAGTTTTGAGACCTCTGTTAAGTTAGATGAGCATCGTTTGCAAGGTGGACCCCTGGTTTCTGCCCCTCACCCACCTCGCGCCTGGACATGCTTCATGCAGGAACTTCAGTGCTGCAGGGTAGGCGATTACTGAACTGTCTGTGTTTGTGTTTTGGGTTTCGTCTTTCGTTTGGTCTTGCCTGTGCAGCTTCTGGGCTGGCCGTTTCGGGATTCAGCTGAGATATCTCGGGGAATTTCCAAGGTCCCCTTTGAGAACAATTCAGAGGATTGGTTTTGAAAATGTTCAGTGTGTTCTGTTAGTGTTGAAGATTTGGGTTACTGAGGCCCTTTGAGAGCTTCCAAAAGATTAGATATGGTTTAGAGGAAATAAAAACATGCCCGTTTCCACTTGTGCTTTATTTTAGTGATAAACACAATAAATACTCTACGGAGAAACATTACGTTGACAGATCCTGTTTTATAACTTGTATTTCTTTTACAATGCATATCGCAGTGTTGTACCAAAGTCAGGGCCCGTGTCCATGGTATTCATGTCCATGAAGGTCGTGTGTCAATTATTTTTGAAGTCTCGCCTCTGTGCTGTCTGGTTATTGTTGTGAGCTGAAACTTGCTGTTCCTCCTGAAAAAGAGTATGGTATATCCAGCCAGCGTCTGCTCCAAAACAGCCCACTGAACCCTGGAAAGATTTGAGCTGGAAAAACATCTATTTGCACTATAACCCCAAATTCCTGCAGCAGAGCTGAAAGACCTAACCGGGCCACCGCTAAATTTATATTTTAGGCTAGCAAGAACTCCAAACAGCCTCCTAACAATGTCATATTTTAAAAATTAATGCTAAGATTTACTGGAGTGCATGGGAATGTGCCTGGAATGTGTTTTATTTTTCGCATAAAAGGAGAGTTTGTGACAAGTGTTCTTTTTTTAACAGTAATGTGAGGTGTTTGTTTATTACGCAGTTCACTCATAATGAGTTTTCCATATGGAATCTGCTTTGCATCATGTTGCATATCCCTTATTTGCTCCATATCCTGGTTCATCATGGGCTTCTGCAAGCATATATGTAAATAGCCTGTTTGCCTTTTTTTATGTAAACATCTTATTTGCATTCCTTTGTTCACAAAAACCTGGCTTCCCTGCGTGCTACTAAGCTTTACATCCCACAGCGCATGCAGCGTAAGCAGAATTCTGTTTATCATGCGTGTTGTAGTGTGGCTACACGTACTGCCCCGAAGTTATAGAGCAAAAAAGTATGTATGCCTGCTCTTAGGCACATCCAGTTTAACACAAATCCACATCAGAGGGGTCACATTCCTGCTGAATGGTCTAAAACTCTGTGGTTTGGAGAGATGCTGGGGGAGCAGTTTTCACCATTACTGCAACCATCTGGACAGCTTGTCACATACGTAGCTTAGGTCTGTTATGATATCAAATTATTCGCACTCATGTTGTGCTTTTCATCCTAAATGGTCCGAAGGTTTTTTTTTTTAGGCATCGCAAGAACCTGCCTCATCTACCACTGAAGCACAGTACCCACCTGTGACCTGGGGAAGCTTATTGAGGCTGGCTACTACAATCCAAGAGTGAAATTTAACCTGACCACCACAGCTCACAGCTCTGCTCTTATTAAGGGTGCCTTAATAAGCTCTTAAATCTTGATTTTTAAAGGCCAAGTTTTCGGGCTCTTGATTTAATGCTTTGTCCAAAAGAAGGTATTTAGTCCTGTCACACTTGCCATGCTGGTTTAGTATTTCTGGTCCAGAGGAAAGAGCACCATATACTGGTCTGCCAGGTATAGCAGCCACCTCCTCTCTTCTTCTTGGTCCAATACAGACCAAGTTCAGCCATGCCTGGAGATCTTGCTAAGGTCTGACTGCTTGATCTTGTCATGTGGTATAGCTGCTGTTGGAAATGGGACTTTCTTGTTAATTTTTCATTTTCTTTTATCTTCATGGAGCTGAGAGCTTGTGTCCAGGAAACATGAGTGTTGGTAAAGGCAAATGAATAATTTGCAGGATAGGCAATAGTTTGTCTGAAGCACCTGTGTGTCAGCCTTCACTTCTCTCCTGCCTTAATGTTCTCCAACTTGAAATTAAATTGTCAAAAGTTACAGATAGCAGAGTGCTTTCCGGAACTACTAAATGAGGTTAACTAGAGTGTCTCAGACATCCACTGTGAGGCCATTATCTCTAATGTCTTCTGTCTTGCCTAGGTGGTTGGGAGGCTGGAGGGCGATGAGTGGAGGCAGACTAGCCTGCGTGTTGTTTTGAGGAATGCAGATAGTTTTAATCTTCACGCATCAGGCACAATGTAAAGTAGCTGCCAGTGTGGGAGTTGAAGGTGTGAAAACAGAAGGGTTGTTAGCACTCCAGATTAGAGCAAATCAGTGCCATGGGATCAGGCTGAGCTGCAGCCAGTTACTCCAAAAGGACAAGCGTGCACAAACTCCCAGACCCCAAGAGCTGGCACAGGTGGAAATTCGTTTGTTTTTGTTTTAGTTTAATTTGTGGAACTTTCCCCCTTCCACTTTGATATGAATATAGTTGATTTTTCTGCAAGCTGAAGTCATAAAAGTTTTTTATTTTGTTTCTGCAGTGTATCGTAGATCTTTCTCTTTTAGAGGTCATTGGGATTTTTGATCTATCCTCAGTAAGAAGGGAGTTCTTTTTTAATCCCAAGTATGAAGTTTAGTCCTGTCACCTGTGTGCTGTTGGAGTTTCAGCTCTAACTGTTGTCGGTGAAGGATCAGGCTTTTTCTTTTTAGCGTGGTTTCCAGCGGGTTGTGTTGAATGTTTCTGGGCCCTGACTGTGGTGAAGGCAGGGCAGGCCCCGAGAGGCGCGGTGTGGGGCAGGCCCAGCCACTTCAGAGCTGTCAGCTCACTTTCTTTGTCTGTGCGGCTGGTGGTTGTAGGTGGAGCCACGAGGCCGTGAAACCCGAGACGGAGCAGAGCCCAGAGGAAGGACTTGCTCCTCAAAGGGGAGTGAGAAGGCTGCAGCGTGACATTCGAAACTTGCAGGCTGCGCAGCGCACACAAAGGAGGATCGCTCCATCCTGGAGCTGGAGCTGGGGAGGGGAGGACTTATTTTTAACTCGCCACTACAAAAGGCCTCTCCTGCTGCTGGTGTTCGGGGGGTCTGTTTTCCTGAAGATAAGCGACCAGAAGAGAACTGGGTGCTGGAATTTGCTTTGCCAGCAAGGGAAATGAGCAGAGTTTGTTTTTTTTCCCCCCATGGCTTCTCCCAGTGTTTCTCCCCCAGAATGCTGTCCGGGCTGTACTGCTGTGGGAATTTGATACTGTCGGGGTCCAGCTTGCGTAACTTTACAGGATTACAGTGGGCTCTGTTTTTGGTTGCCAGTGACCCGGCTCCCCGTCTCTCCTCCGTCCTGTGTTAAAGAGGGTTTTGGAGGTTGCCGGCCCCCCCGGCGTGCGGTGGAGAAGTGGGGGGAGAGCTGTCGGGGGTGTCCCGTGCCGCAGCCGCGCAGAGGAAGGTGTTGCGAGGGGCGGCGCAGGGCTGCGCTGTGCTTGCTTGCGTTGCCGAGCCCGATCTCTCCCACCCACCCCCCCCCGCCCTGAGGGCGTCTCACCGTGGACGTCTTGGGTTGAGGTTTGGTAAAGGAGGGGCCTCTGTTATGGGCTGTTTTGTTTCTATGGCAAGCGAGATGAGTGTTGGTGCCTCATGACGAGTAAAACTCCAGTGCACTTTCTGTACTCATGGAAGGGAGTGCTTGAACTTTTCACATGCATATCCGGACACAAAGTTGTCAAGACTAAAGGTAATTATACCGATTTTTTTAAAAAAACGTTTTGAACCGTTTCTTAGCCTTTACCTGGTTGTGTAAAACAGCAGTGAGAGTGTTGTGGCCCAATGAGAAATTTGGCACCTTGTAGACTGCTGGAGTTAAGCCCGTCCCCTAGTTTCCCTGAGCTGCTCGTGCCCCCTGTAGTGGAGAAAGTGCTTGAAGTCCCAGGTGAGTTTCGGGGCTCGCAGAGCTGCGGGACTGCTGTTTTGCTGAAGCCCCAGAGGAACCGAGTGGAAAGCTCTCAAGCTTGATAGGAGTTTTGTTTCGAGATGTTTACCTCCGGTTGTGTGTTCTTGAAGGCATTTGGTGGCGAGCGGAGCCGAGAGAGCCAGATTCGTGGGGTGGATGCTGCCGTGTGAATGTTGACTCCCCGGCGCGATGTCATACAGTGCGGTAGAATGCCAGGAGCTCCTACGTGTGCTTTCCCCCAGCTGCATCCAAAACATGGTGCAGTAGCAGGTTCCTTGTGTTACAGAAGAGTTTGTTCCGTGTTCATTTTTCCTTTTCTTTTTTCTTCGGTTTGCCCTTTAGGTTGTAGTTGAAATTAATGGGATTGGGGGGGAGGGGGCGGGGGGAGAGAATGAACCAGAGAATCTTTAGTTTTAGTTCTTTTTTTGTCTTTAAAAAAAAAAGCTATCTGGTTTCACGGTTGATTGGTGACTCATGGCCTTTGTTTTGGTGCTTGCTTTTGAAAAGAAGAAGGATGACGTTCAGGTGCTTGCTGAGCGGAAGCAGTGAAGTCTTCTGAGAAGAGCAGAAAAACAAATGTGCCGCTGTGGAAGAATAATGCTGTTTTAAATGTGTTCGTAGTCATCAGGAGGAGTAAGTGCTTTCAACCAGAAGGCTTACAGCTTAAACAAAGGGCTATATTTACCTTCTTTGTCAGTCCTGTTAAAATTGCCTCTTGTTTTTAATCGCGTGCTTCTAACTGTACTGTAGCTAGGAGTGTCTTTTCGTGTATGTAGCAGTATGTCAATTTTCTCTCTTATTGCTTCTTTACATTCTAGAGGTCCCAAAATTTCAAGAGAAGAAGAAAGCCTTAATTGGAAATCATATGGACGAAGGCAAGCATCCAGATTCATTTTTGTAATTGAAATGCGTAGTGGGATTGCCCTGCTGTGTTGGTGTGGAGACATGGCTTCTTTCTCTCTCTTGAGTGGAGGGGGAGAGGCTCCTCTCAGCTGGGGAGTCTAGCAGGGAGAAAAGAGCAAGTTAGCAGTTCACCCAGATTGGCCTGCCAATTCCCCCCCCCTCTTCCATGTGGAGCGCGGGGAGCACACAAGCAGATCCAGCCATTCCCGATTCTTCCATCCCTGTGGAAATCGCCTCATTGATCCTAACAGGCTGAGACCTATGGAATGAACTTGCCTTTCAAGCTGCAGTTCAGAGGACAGGGACTCTTGTCTCTTCCATTCTGTGGCAAGGCTTTGATCCAGCTGTCACTATTTCTTAGCTGAACCTGTCCTTCAGTAACAGAGGGGCTGGAACAGAAACTTGGCACTGGAGTGGGATGGAAGTGAGTAGGTGCCCTACCCTTGTTTGTGATGGGGGGGGGGGAGTGGACTGCTTGCTGACCTAAACATCAATTTGCAGTAACCATCAATTTCCACTCTGTAAAAGAGTGAGCTGTTTTAGTGGGTCTGGTACATCTGATGCTCCACTGGAAGAGGGGTGTATCGCCTACCTCAGGTGGACTGTCCAGCGTTCTTCTGCCAAAGCAGGGATGGGTGTGCGAAAAACAGTCCAGGGTGGCTTTTCCGCTAGTGTGGCCACTGTGACGGTGCTTGGGGTGGTAGAGTCCTAAAAGACAACACGTTAAATGTTGAACCACTGCCTGGCCGTTGTCCTGGCTGTGTGAAACTCCAGCCACTCAGTCTGGAGAGGGTTGTAAACTGGTTAAAAGAAAAATCACTGATCAGAGCACTCAAAACCTTGTGTGCTCCAAGATGATTTGAAGTACAAACATAGTACAAGAGAAATTATATTCATCTTCATGTGGCTTTTTTTCCCACAACCCAAAAGTTTTTTTTTTTTATTCTAAGTGTTTTCTCCCCTGCTATATTCTAACCATCGATGCAGCTGTAGCTTTGCAGGGAGCTAAAGCCTGTTGTATTAAATGCATGTGTGACTCTGGATTTTGTCTGCTTGCATGATGTGATCAGTGATGCACTGGCTAGTTTGTAGTTTTAGTGTTTTGATAGCCTTACAATCTGAAAAGGGTCTTGGGAGCAAATCTATGTAACGGAAACTTTCTCATCACCAGTGCAGCTCGTTTTGGATTACCATGCAGAGATGCTGTACTCGCTTGGCGTGCCCCAGCGAATTGCTGCACATGCAAATATTTTTCATAATTGCATCAGGATGATTTCCTGGTGTAAACATCTCCCTGCAGCGCAGTGGGCTGTCTGGTGCCAGTCCTCTGGGGGCACAGAAGCCTCTTTAAACGGCACATCTGGAAACATGGTCAGGTGTAAAAGCTTTGAGGCTCTACAAAGGAGAGTAACACATCCACCACACTCAGCACTGCAAAGCATGAGCAAAGGCTAGCATTTCATAAAGGATTAACACACCATTCCGGGAGATTGTGCAGTCGGTGGGGTAAGGACTTCAAATTTCTTAAATAAGGTAGTAGGTTTTGTAAAAATAAACCGAGATTAGTACACTATGATTCTGAAGACCAAGACGAGGCTTACAAACCTTTTGTCCATTCCTTCTTTAAAGGAAGCTGGACGCTGGAGCCTCTATGGGCAGGGCAGGGCTGTGCCCTTGATGGGACGCCAGCCCATCGCGACCGGGATGAACAAAATTATGAAAGAATTCTCTAAAACGTTAGACAGTTTAAAGATGGCATGTAGCCGAATTTCAGCTTTCATCTTGGACGATTCCTCTTGTATCGGATGGAAGAGAAATTTTCAAGATCCAACTAACGGTATAATTTGCAACTGCTGTAGCAGCCTTTGAAATTTTGAAAAAATTAGGTGGTTTTCATGTGTGGTGTGAGAACAGGTCAAACAATAAGTTTGACTTATTTGCAGATTTATTTGGCTTATCCTTCTATCCAAAGTGACTTGCAGTTGCATGCATTTATACGGCCTGGTATTTTACCAAGACAATTCAGGTTAAGCACTTTGCTCAAGGCTACAACAACAGCAGCGTCTCATCTGGGAGTCGTGCCCACAGCCTTTCAGTCCCAAGTACAGAACCCTGACCACTGTCGTCCAGATTAGTCTAAAAATGTAAAACTACAATCTGAAGACAATGACCTCAAACCGATGTCACTAAGAAACAGCTCCCAAAACTAAAAGGTATGAATCTCAGGATTTAACGGTGCAATAAGTGCACTCATAAAGCTGTAGTATAACATCAGACACTTTTCTGCAAAAGAAATTAATGACCTTATCAATAAATCTATTTTCATGCCCCTCTGCCATAAGGGAAATAAACATTCATCATTTATGGTTTTTCTTCAGGCATATTGCATTTAATTCTTGGTGTAACGAATTCTTACAGAAATATGATTAGCCACATAGTATTTTCTTTATCCATTTTATGTATTCATCAAAATAATGCAATGGAAACTTCATAAACAGTTACCCAAACAATTAGTAATGCTACTAAATTAATTATGGACATAGTGTCCTGAAACAAAGTTGGGTCTTGTCCCATCGTGATATTCCTTACGTTTGTCGGTGAGTGCCAAGCTCTCAAGTCTTGTTTTCTTTGCTGCTGCTGCTGTGGTCCACTCATTTTTCACACATTTACATCACTCTGAGGAAGGGAGACTTAACTCTGAGACTCCGAAGAAGAGTTAACTACAAGTCATGTGGTTAGAACTGTGGTTTTCCCTGTCGTTCTGCATGGTGGAATGACGGCTGTGCGTTTTTAGTTGGACAGGCTGGCGAGATCTATAGAGGGGGTTTTCTGCAACGTCAGGAACTAGCAGTATGTAGGGCAGGCTGCTTTTTATGTTTGTACAGAGGTGCAGCTCAACCCTTAAGAATGTTCAGTAAGTGAACTTCTTGATTATATAAGTTAAACAGGTTTCTCTAGGGCTAACCTTCTCAAGAGATACCGCTGTTGACGAAATTGGCTCTGTTACGCAGGCTTCGTTACCTTACAGAAATATTTTGTGCTTATCCAGCATGGTGCTAGCATATTCCCAGAACAGTGTCTCAAACAACATGTGGATGTTAGAAATTAACCCCCCCCCCCCTTTAATAACATCTAATTAATAGTGAGGACATTCTTCTCTTGGAGCCTGTGGTTATTGGGACATTTGAAATGTACTGTGCTATAAGCTTTGTAGAACACTGATGCTGCTGTGTGAGTTGTACATTAATGGATCATATATCCTTTATTCTGGTTCTTGCTACGAAATCTTACAAACATAGAGATTTTCTGTCAGATGTCATGGGTGTATGGACTCCAGAGATTAATATTATTAGTTCCTGTTAACTCTGCTACACTGTGTGAAAATCAACGCCTCCTAATCTTTCAAATGTGTCAACAGACACCATCTCCTTGCAGACCATCTCTGGCACATTCCTGCTCATGCCCCTCTGGTTCACTGACTGGCGCAAGGCCCTATAGCAGGTCCCTATAGCAATACTTGGACAGTACTGGACCATGAACACGAGAGCCTCGCTGGTGGCCTTTTCTCAGCGTCGGGCTGGAAATCCTACACACACTTGGCGTACGGTGCCATACATCCACATACACTAGAAGGAGCAGATCCTTCTAGTTGAGATCCACACGTTCTTTCTGATTGGGGTTGTTTGTGTAGCTTGTGACTCGCAGCGCTTGTTTTACCAGTGATATCCCTTGTGTATTTCAGAAGTAAAAATGAAGAAAGGGCCACTCAGCAGCCATGGAAACCCAAGTGAAAGGGAGTGTAAACACCCTCTGACAGAGAACAAACAAACATAAGAGCACTGCCTGAAGAGGCCTGCATATTGACACTCAGATCAGTTCCATAGATCTGTATACCTCAATGTTTTAAGAATATGAACCATTCTTTTTTTTGTCCATTAAGCTCCTTCTATTTTTTTTTAAAGCAAACCGAAAGCTTTTTGCCTAGGGGCTGTTTTCTAGGTGACTGCTTCGATACCATGGGTCAGTACTGGTTACCTGGACTAAAGAGCCGGGGGAGGGTTACCAGCAGCAGGTGACACTATGAAAGTAACCTTATTTGTAATCTTATTCTTTGCCACTCGTATTTATTTTCCCCCCGTTTTTTGCCCGCTCCCTTGTAGAAATGAGTCGCCAGACCGCCACAGCGCTCCCCACAGGAACCTCAAAGTGCGCACCGTCCCAGCGAGTCCCAGCCCTGACCGGCACCACCGCCTCCAACAACGACCTGGCCAGTCTGTTTGAGTGCCCCGTCTGCTTCGACTATGTCCTGCCACCCATCCTGCAGTGCCAGAGCGGGCACCTGGTCTGCAGCAACTGCCGGCCCAAGCTCACCTGCTGCCCCACCTGTCGGGGCCCGCTGGGCTCCATCCGCAACCTGGCCATGGAGAAGGTGGCCAACTCGGTGCTGTTCCCCTGCAAGTACGCCTCCTCGGGCTGCGAGATCACGCTGCCGCACACGGAGAAGGCCGAGCACGAGGAGCTGTGCGAGTTCAGGCCGTACTCCTGCCCCTGCCCGGGGGCCTCCTGCAAGTGGCAGGGCTCTTTGGACGCGGTGATGCCCCACCTGATGCATCAACACAAGTCCATCACCACCCTGCAGGGCGAGGACATCGTCTTCCTGGCCACGGACATCAACCTGCCGGGGGCGGTGGACTGGGTCATGATGCAGTCTTGTTTCGGCTTCCACTTCATGCTGGTGCTGGAGAAGCAGGAGAAGTACGACGGGCACCAGCAGTTCTTCGCCATCGTGCAGCTCATCGGCACGCGCAAGCAGGCCGAGAACTTCGCCTACCGCCTGGAGCTCAACGGCCACCGGCGGAGGCTGACCTGGGAGGCCACGCCCCGCTCCATCCACGAGGGCATCGCCACGGCGATCATGAACAGTGACTGCCTCGTGTTCGACACCTCCATCGCGCAGCTGTTCGCCGAGAACGGCAACCTGGGCATCAACGTCACCATCTCCATGTGCTGAGGCGGCACCTGGCTGCCACGGTAACCCGAGCAGCGCGAGTCTGTCTTTTTATACAGCGGGGAGGATGGGGGAGGGGCTGAGGACGGAGTTCTTCAGAAGAGGCGTTCTTAAGAAAAATCATTTCAAATTTTGGTTAGGAAATGCAAAGCTGAAACTTTTATGGAAGTTCACTCTTGACTGATTTTTAATTTTTTTTTCTTCCCCCCCCCTCCACAAGGTTCTGGTTCTTGAAGTTAAAATGCTGGCTGAGCTGCATGTGGAGACGCTAATGTATGACGCCGAGGGGGGGGGGGACACACAATCTTCATCTTCTGATAAACCACTGAATTATCTGCCCAAGAATGGGGACATCTCTTTTTTTGTAAGAAATTAAAAAAAATCTATAAAAAAAGCTGTTGTAAGTTGTGGCTAAACTTCAGTGTTTGTAGACTGATTGTATCGTTAATACTGTTGTCTTTTTTTTTGACGAGCCAAGTTAGGCAGTTTCAGGCTGCCTTTGTCTTTGTCCGATATGTCACTACATCATAGTATTGCTGCTGTTTGTTTTTATTTTCTCTGTGTAATTCTGTTTTTTAATTATCTTTAGTTTTTTTTTGTCATTTAATAAATTCGACCATCTTTTTCATAATTCCAGTCATTTACAATTTTTTTTTTTGTTGTGAATTCTCCCACTGCATTTCTCTATTTTTCTATATTGTAATTATTTATGTCAAGTGGTTTAGTGTTCTCGCTGGTGTTTCTAAAAGGCATGTTTCTGGAAATGGGGTGCAGTGTTTATTTTCCCTGGCCTGGACACAGAGGGCCCGGTCCGGGTGCCGATGGGGTCGGGCAGCTGCACTGGCTGCGACCCTGGGCTTCTCGCTCAGTGGTTCCAGGTCTCTCCCAGGCTGAGGACGGACACCTGTGCTTCTGTTTCAAGGGCAGTGAGCACACCTGAGCTACACTGCTGCTAGCACGGCCATTTCACAGACTCGGCTCTCCTGACGGACGCTACAGACTACCCGATTGTGCAGTGAGAGAACTTTTACTCTTTCCCTCGTTGCCGAGAGCAGGCTTTTGTCCATTTTTCTTTGTAATGGAGTCTTGTGGTGAAATGGACAGTCGTTTGCTTATTTTGATTTTTGTTTTGTAAGAACATCTGTACTCGGACTCCTAGATCAGAGGTTTTCGGCCTTGCCGGCCGCTGGAGGGATGCCTATCCCTCTGCCTCTTTGCAAGCTCTCAGCCAGATGCTTTCTTCTGTAACCGGTTCTCAGCTGAAAACAAAGGCCCTGGCCGAGCATGTGACTTCGGTTGAAGTGTCAGTTAAGTAGAGGGGAGCTCTGCAAGCTGGAGACCCGGAAGAGGCATGGTGATCTGCAATGACATGCAGGCTGGAAACCACTGATCTGGGGTGCAAGTGTCCATTAAACAAGGAGGATCACTTTGGAAACGGTAAATGTTATTATTCATGTTATGCCTTTTTTTGTTATACTCTGCTATGTTGTGCTGAAAATTTATTAAAAGCCAATCCATGGGTTTAAGAGTTTTGGTCCGGAGAAGGTAACACCCCAGTGGGAACCCTCTCCCCTTGCATGTTCTCTTCTACAGAACATGACAAGAGCTGCAGCCTGTTCCTCAGGCTATATCTTGCTTCAAACATTTAGGTGCTGCTTTAGGTGTAGCGAAATGATTGTGATAATCTATTGATGAAATAAGATTGACCTTCGCTGAGCTTCACTGTTGCTTTTCTTAGCGGCCATTTTAAGTACAGTACAGTAACCCCAGTGTTATTGTATCTGAAATTAAAGTATTTTTTGCTAAGCAATACTTCTCAAGGTTTCATTAATTCAAATTCATTCAAATTAGTTAATGTGAACTGGTTTAAGATGTGTGATGTGAATACAAATGTTAAACTTTCAGGTCCCGATGTTCAGGGTGGTGTTGAGCACAGGTGTTGCTCAGTTTTAGGTTAACTAGATTTGCACTTCATAATCTTGAGAAGGATGCAAACATGGCAGAATATAACAGCAACCGAGGAACTTGGGCAAGTTATTTCTGATTTTTCTTTTTCTTTCCTGCCTTGTGTGCTTGAGGTGCATTCATTTCATATCAGATGGGGGCTCAAATAGGAATTTCATTGTCAATTTGGTCTGTTGTCTTTCAGCTCCTGGCATTTTACTTTACAGGCTGCAGTGAGAAGCTGGGTCGTTACATTTGAAACTTTCTCGCACCAGATTAAAGTCACTGTATTGGTCGATGAAAGTTTGGAAAGAGTAAAAGATAAAAACTCTGCTCTTGCAAGTGTCGTTTTAAAACCCAATACGGCGGTCGGGAAGCTCAGGGGTGGCAGCGACAAGATGTCACAGTGTTTAAGATTTGATGTAAACTGTTCAAAAATATATCTTCTGTTGTTGAAGTGGAATTGCTGGTGATGTACAGTATAGCGTTTTTACATGAAGTCGGAAGTACATTACGTGGAAACCATTTAGGATGAGTATCTTTTTCATGCAGAAACAGTAGCATATAAGCAAGCCATATTCAGAGAAGAAATCCTGTATAAGAGTTTGGTTGGTGTTCTGGAGTTGTGGTCATTTTTCATTCGGTTATGGTTGAGTTTGTCCTGTTCACGGTTGGGCCTTTTCAAGTTTTTTATAGTCACTTAAGGAGTGTACATTCGTTAGTTTTTTCTCCACGATTTCATTGTATTTATGAATAAACAAATCCGTTCTATATAATGTTTTTGTTCCTAAGGCTTTTTTATTTTATTTATTAACTGGGAGTCTACCTGGGGAATTTGCCAAGCAGGTATGGTGAGACTGTGACTAATGAGGAAGCTTTCAATTGAAACAGGAGGATGTTGTAATGGGGAAGAGATTATATGTTATCTGTTAGTTCTAAGGAATAAACATCAGGTCCAGCTGATTGTTAATCTGTTGAAAAAACTTCAATCTTTAATTGCATGCTCGCATGAAAAGTTTAAAAAAAATTACCTGGGTTTCCATAAATTCCTCTTGATCCTTTAAAAAAAGAACTTATTAAGCACATGGATTTAAACTAATACGGTGATTGTGATCTGTCATTATGTGGATTATTTTTCCTGGAACCCAAGTTTAAAACGCAAGATAATAAAGGCAAGGGTGACTTTGGTAAATCCAATATAAAAGTTCTGGCACGTCAATTTCCTCCTTAAGGCAGTTCTCTGCTCCCTTGATTAAAATCTTAATAATTATTAGTAAACTTATCACACACACCTTAAAACATTTGTGTATGTACGTGGGTTCCAGTTTAAGCAACATTCTTCACTGATTTTGTAATTGTACGTGACACACTTGATATTTGTATTGTAGATGAGCTTCGGCATACTGTAACTTTCACACCCTTCAAGTAAATGATTTAAATTCGAAAGAGTCAAATTAACATTTTTAAAGATGGTCAGTTATATACTGAAGTTTACATCATTGACCATCTCCAAAGGTGCAGAGTGTCAAAGTTCTTCACTCTATAAAGGAGAAATGCTGCTTTTTAAATATAGTGACAAGGACGTTCCTTATTCAAATTTTATTTCTAACGCCGATAACATTTGAACGGCATGGTTGTCGATAGTGGCTCCTACCAGTTTAACAGGAGGTATCTTAAAAGGATTTTGCACAATCGTGTTGGGTGTGTCAATGTGCGTCGTAACGGACAACAAACGTATTGAAACATAAACCTGTAAATGCAGTTGAGCATTTCCTCCAAAGCCAAAACAGGAATGTGGGAAAGCTAGGCCTTGTTTTCTGGAAAGTGCCCATACCATGTTCCCAAATATCCAGTACCAAGTATCGGCCAGGGGCAGCTGAAGCATTTAAAACAGTTTTAGCATTTTGTACAAAACGTGCACCTGCTTTCCAATGTGTTTTTACAAAACTGTTGCTGGAACTCGTATGTTGAGCGGAGATGTTGGGATTGTACTGGCTTGCCTTGCTGAAGCAGCAGAACAAGTACAGCCAAGCTGTTCAGCATTGTGGCAGCCAGAATGTCAGTATCTCTGGGAGAGGGACCCTGCTCCAACCTGCCGGTGTGAAACTCCTGACAGAAGTGTGTTGGAAAGGCAGACATGCGGTTTGCTCTGCTTCCACTTAAAAGGGAAACCTGAGCCGTTCATGAATCTAGCCTTATAGATTATTTTCCCCCTACAGAGTCAGGGTGGTGTGTGTGTGCTAGCGCGGGACAACGGATGAAAACAAATGCAAATAACTTCATACAGGCTTACCTTCTGTATCACGAGTCACCATCCATACAGCTGTTGGATCTACACGGCAGGGGCGTGGCGTGTAACAAGCCTGGTTTACATTAAAAGACAGCTGCAATCAAGCCTGTGTGTAATTGTCTCCTATACTTGGCACAAGTTTAAAAGAGTACCTGCGATCCTGTACTGAAGAACGTGTTGCATTATTAATGCTTTAACAGGTTTGGTATTGGCTAGGCTCCACAAGGTAATACACCTCAGCATCACTGTATCACCATAACTTGTGTATCTTAAAAACTATAATGACTAAAAACTGGTGCTTAAAGATGAAACCTGTTTTTTTTTTCCCCCAATTGACAAGTTTTACCCCAGAGGCAGGCTGCATTCTTGTGCATTTCTGCACATGTATCTTTGTGCTAGTTGTGAACAGTGTGACTTCTGTGTGCAGTTGTAGAGGTCCTTACTGTTGGACGTGTTCTTGTAGGCCTCAATCGTTAAGCCTCTCTCCATCAGCGTTGGGAGAGCGAGGGGCCGGGATGCATCACTCTTAGTCCCCCTTTGCCCTTAAAAACTATTTAAAGCCAGGGGTGCATAACCCTATTTCCATTGTCAGGGACCACTGCTTGCAGTTTGCAAACATCTAAATGAGTCCATGACTATATGATCAACCCCTTACCACCCTTTCCAGAACTCATCAGCTAGACAAGAGCTGAAAAACCTATACTGAACCCTATCAGACTGAATCTTCACCATGAGTCTCCTCATCCCTTCCCAGGCCACAGCTGCAGGAGGAGAGTGATGTTCACTACACACCCTTTGTACTGGAGCCAGGCTGTGTACTACAAGCAGGTGCAGTGTTTGGTTTTTGAGCTGAGGCAGGTGTAAGTTGTTGGGAGGGTTTGGTCATGCCTTGAGAGTTTCTCCCCGTCTGTGGGCTGTCGAGCACCAGGCCTGCAGGGAGCTGTAATGTATCCGTCTCGGTCCAGACGTGCATCTCCCCGCTGGGCTCCGGTTTCACCCTTCTCCCCAGCCCGAATTACACCTGGGGATGCCAACCCTGCTGCTGGAGAGCCACAGCCCCGACTCTCAGCATCCTAAGTGCAGCAGCAGTCTTGGCCAGGTGGAGGGGCTACAGCAGGAGCACCACTGCAGGCACAGGCCGGCACGGCTCTCTTCAGATCACCAACACCTTAGATTGTGAATTATACCCTTTATTCGTCACTAAAGTGCTTTGTTTAACAAGTCCTAGCTCTGTCTAGTTCAATTTATCACACCTGGAAGACAGGCCACAGTGCTGCACTAAATCTAGGTTGGATAAAGCACAATTTTAGGGAGAAAAAAATCATTTCACATAGAATTCACAGAAAATAGAAGCTTTCTATTTTGAATTAAGTGCTCACTCTTTTAAAAAAAACAAGAAACAATTTGCTGCATTATAACATCACATGTGTACCGGCCATGGTGTTCCCAAGCGCAGTCGAACACCGTGCACTGCTTCGATATCTGCTCATTACATTTCTTCAAACATCTGAAACACATAAGCATTGCCTCTTCAAAGCAAAGCAATAAATGGCCAAGCAGGTAAGAGCACTTCAGGAGCAGTATCTCATTACCTGACCCTGCCCAGCGCTCCCAGTCAGCTGCCAAAACCCATTACCGCTGGTTAGCAATTCATGTGGCTGCAGACTGAGTATTTCATGACAAGGAGAGTTAAATTATTGACACTGCTGCTGGCAGAAACGCAGGGCTCAGCTCTAGTGATGCTGTCTATGTACGCTCTCTGGTTTCATCAGTCTGTTGCGTTTTAGTCGCGTCTGCCATCACTTTGGGCTGGTGCGTGTGTGTGTGTCAGGTCTGCCATCACTTTGGGCTGGTGTGTGTGTGTCAGGTGTGGCATCACTTTGGGCTGGTGTGTGTGTGTGTCAGGTGTGGCATCACTTTGGGCTGGTGTGTGTGTGTCAGGTCTGCCATCATTTTGGCTGGTGTGTGTGTGTGTCAGGTCTGCCATCATTTTGGCTGGTGTGTGTGTGTGTCAGGTCTGC